CTTATTTAGTCTGCAGAAGAGAAGACTGAGGGGGGTATTTGATAGCAGCTGCGTGAAGCAGGGAGAGTGTGAGTTCCAAAGAGAATGGAGAGAGGATGTTCTCAGTTGTGACAGGTGATAGAGTGAGGAGCAGTGAAGGAGGTCTAGATTGGATATTAAGAAAATCTGTTGCACTGGGAGGGTGGTAGAGCACAGGAATGGGTTACCTATAGAGGAGGTGTAATCTCCATCCCTAAAGGTTTTTAAGTCCCAGCTTAATAAAGCCCTGTCTGGGATGATTTAATTGGGGTTGGTCCTGCTTTTAGCAAGGGTTTGGTCTTGCTGACCACCTTGGGTCTCTTCCAACATTATGATTGTATGAGCCTGAAGAGTGAGTCATCAAGACATACAGTTCACTGATCTGCCATTTTCAATTTTTCATAAATACAAAGGGTGGATCTTGCACCTGATTTTAGTGTTTTGCCAAAAGTGGTATCTAGTTTCATACCAATCAGACCAATTGATTTACCAGTATTTTCCCCAAAACTCCATTCTAATAAAGGAGACTACTAGATACTTTAGATACTAGAAAGGTTTTAGTGTATTATTTAACTAGAAGTAAAGGTTTTAGGAAGTCCTCTTGGTTACTTGTTTCTTGTATTCAGAATCATACAGGTCACATTATATCTGCTCAGATTATTTCCATTTGGTTTAAACAACATTTTTATTGAATGTTACAACTTAGCTGCACTCCCTGTGCTCACTATTGTAAAATCTCATTCTCCTAGGTCAGTGGTATTGTCTTTTATCGCCTAAACCATGTTCCTTTGGGGAACTCTGTAAGGCTGCTACTTGGAAGTTAATCCGTTTCTTTACAAAACAATATGGTTTGGATTTTGGCTTGAAGAATGGATGTTAGATTTGGTATCATGGGGCTTCAGTTGTTATATAATTAGAACTCTTTTCAGTTTCCTGCACTGCTTTTCAAACTACCATTAAGTTGAGAGTATGCAGAGACCACTCAAAGAAATGAAGGTCACTTTTAATAAGTTCCTTGAGATGACACTGCATATTCACATTTCATTCACCTCCTTTCTCAGTGTTATAGTATCATTTATCTGGATGAGCAGTGAAAAGAGCTGAGGCAGTAGAAGGCACAGGACCCTTTGTTCAATCCCAGAACATTGGGAGGCATTAACAGGAGGGATCAGAGATATGTGCTATAAAATGAAACTGCTCGGGGAAGGTTCTACTGTTAGGTTGCATCAGACAGTGCATTACCCATAAGTGTGTGAATGCAGAATCATCTCAAAGAGTGCACAAGACAGTGTAGCCAAGTGCTGGGGCCATACTGCAATGCTGAATCACCTGCAGAAAGCACAACGACAAGGAGATAGTCGGTGCATTACTGCCTTGTAGGAGGTGCGGATAGCTAAAAGGATATTGTCAGAATGTTTCAATTTTTCCCTGTCTTACCCAGCCATAAAAGGATGGCCATGGGACAGTTGAACTTTCAGAGGAAGGGCGCACAGGAACCATGAAGCCAACAGTGGAGCACAAAACCTCTATGCAGATAGGCATGACTTTCTGCCGATCCATTCAGGAGACTCATAGGCTTAGTTGGCCAGACCCTGCCCGGGCTGTCTGATAGTAAATCAGATCCTTTCTAGTGAGGGAATAAAAAGGGAAGAAAACTTTACAAGAAAAACCTCATGGATATTTTCTCCCCCACTATCGTTTTAACATGAGAGGCAGGGAGTTTGCTTGTTCCTGTGCAGCATTTGCTTCTGGTAATAACAGCCCTTATACAATTGTGCCAGTGAGACAGCCTATGTGTCACAATCATCTCTAAATTAGTTGTGAAGTCAGAGGTGATTTCTTTTCAAGAACAGTCCATTGTAGTGAGAGAGAAGACTAGAAAAGAGAAGCTTTTCAATTATTCCCCATTAGACTAGGAATTTTAGAAAAATGTCTTGTGCCTTATACAACCAAGTCATTTATTAAATCTTACGTAACTAGATAAAAAGAAAAGGCATTATATAAAGCACTGTGTAAACTAATCTGCAAAAGAAAGCCCTTCCACATCTGTTGGCTGCTAAGAATACTTCTGAGTCTTTCATTAGTCTAATTCTGTCTGGATTTGATGGGATTATATGAAGGGATATGTAAAGAGCTTGCAAGATTAGCTTTTTCTAAACTCTTCCCAACTTCAGTGCAGTGAGAATAGGTGGTATGAAAGCTGTAAAGCAATTAAGTTGCTCCATAGAGAGCAACTTTATTCAGAAAAAGGAAAAGTATTTTTTGAGAAAAACATTTGAAATTAAATTTGCATGGCTTGGGATGTTGGTTTTAAGAAAAGTTCTGTCCTGTACAGACTAAATATTATCACTAATGGCAAACCAGATGCAGCCTAATTTTAAAAAGTCAGTAGAATCTCTTAGCTCACTTCCTCTCATCCTTCCAAAGGGATAGTTAATATCTGTCTTTACCAGCTGCTATCATGGCCTTGAGAATTTTTTTTAAATTTCTTTGGAACGATTTAAAGTTTGGATTTTTTTTTCTTTTCTCTATTTTTCTAAGATCTTTTGACACGTGAAATTATCTGATTTGAATGGGAGGAAATATTCATGTAGAATCCCAGACAGTTTTTTAATTATAAACTTACAAAAGATGCCGATTATAAAAATTCTTAGCACGCTCCCCTTCCCCCAAAAAAGTTTGTGTTACACATTATGCCATCTGTTTTCTTTGAAACCACAATTATAAAAATTCTTAGCATGTCCCCCTTTCCCCCCAAAAAGTTTGTGTTACACATTATGCCATCTGTTTTCTTTGAAACCACTTTTCTATATTGGAGTCATAATTTGTACAGGAGCTGCTATTACCTGATGCCCATATCAGTCTCACCTGATATGAAGACATTTGTGCAGGGAATGAGAAAGTGGTAAAATTTGTGCACATGGCTGAATACATTTAAAAATTCTAAAATCTTTTAGGTGTTGAAGAAAGGAATCTAAAAATATGACAAACTTTATTTTCTAGTACATAAATCCATATTTCTGCGTAATGTATTGTTTAGAAAATATCACTGATGCTTTAATGTTAATAGCTTATGCAGTCATATGAAATGTTTCTTTCTAAAAATTGTGAAAGACACTAGAGGAGTGTAGTATAAATATGAAAATATATAAAATATAAATAAAGTAAATTTCCATATACAATTACAAGACTAGGTTTGAAAATGTATGTACACTACTTGGCAAATATATTTTTATGCCATACTCCTGTAAAACATAATTGTAACCTATTAAGGTTTAAATGTGTGTGTATATATATATTAGAAGTTTGTCTGTCTGAGTCCATTTGTTCAATAATTCATCCTAAATGGTAAGAGCTAGGACCACCAAATCAGATATGCAGCTTCCCCTTCTTCTAAGTTAAAGCAAGGTCAGAGTTTGGTTGTACCAGGAGAACAAGGAGCCCCAGCACTGTATTCCATAGCATGAAAAGGGAGAGGCCGCTTTTCAGTGGGACATGCTATGAAAGTGGCCACTAGGGGCAGTGAGCCCACAGGGGAGGAGCTGTCCTGAAGAGTGTCCATTGGGTGCAGCCATACCACTATGGGAGTGGCCAGTAGGGCTGAGGCTCTGCCATCTTGCCTGCCAGCACACTAGGTGAGTTGCCCCCTTGCCCCAAATCCTTTCCTCTCCTCCTGCCCTTTGGCCATAGCACTGGGAGGAGGGGAAGGAAAAGACCCCTGGTGGCCAGGAAGTATCTGGGGGAAGAGAGAAGGCCCCTGGCAGATGGGGAGGTCTGGAGAGAGAGAGAAAAGGGCCATGCTGGATGGGAATTCCTCCACCCCCCAGCCCTGAGCCCCTTCTCATCCTCTACTCCCAGCCTCCTGCACTACCTCCCACATCCCCAAGGCCCTGACCTGACTCCTGCACCCACATGAGGGATGTTAGTTAGCATGTAATTGAATAGTCATGTAACCACATCATATTTTAATGATACACAATTATTCCATAGTCCCTGGGGGTGGGGCTGGCAGTAAATGCATTCTGGCTGCACTCCCAGCGAAGCCCCTGCTATCCTGTGCTGCTGTCTGTCTATCAGAGCAGGTGAGTTTGTGGAGCCAGCATACATGGAGAGCTGCTTAAAAGCCAGCTCCTCGTACATATTGGCTCCCATCTGCCCCCCTCACCCTCTGTGCTGCCACCTCTATATCAGAGCTAGTAGCCGACAGGATTAACCAATAAGTTTAGGCTTATCAATTCATTGTGTAGTACACGCTGCTATCCCTACCCCCTACACCGCCAGCTTCCAGCCTTGAAGGACCTGGGCCATGCCAAGTAAGTCGGCTAATATTTATATACATAGTAAAACAGTTGTACTTGGATGCTTCTAATTTTATCATTCTGCCTGTCTAGCAAGTACAAGACTCATGTTTTACTTAGGTAAATATTTTTTCTAGCAATAGCAAAGTTGTCAGCATTGATCCGTCTTTAGGTATAATAGATGCTTAAACTCTTCATGAACTTCACGAGCTCTCTGTAGTCAATTTACTTTCTCTTAGCTTCAGTTCAGCTAACTTCTGCATTTCCTTATTTTTGCTGTCTTAACAATAATGGACCAGATCTTCAGTTGATGTAAATCGGCATAACTCCATTTGTAGCATATGCAAAAGTATAGCAGCTAAGGGACTGGCTTCAATGTGTTTATTTAAATTCTTCAATGTATATTTGTTGGACCATCTCCATTAAGTAGTTCTCCCATACTTGTGCTTCTTAAAAAGTCTACATACTTGCTTTGTATTCACCCCAAACTTGTTACATTATGCCACTTTTCATGAGCTTGATTGAAAAGTCCAAAAGCCACAACCTCTCAAATGGAAGTTGAACACTAGTATGAAGACTGAACATTTCTACTGTTTATGTTTACATTTATATTTCTGCTTTTTAAGAAAGCACCCTTTTTAAGAGACACCCAGTTCTTGTGGACAAACTTCTCAATGTCCTTACCTGATCGAGGGCTAAGGTGTTGGGCAGTGTAAAAAAGGATACCATCTGCCAAAATGGGCTGAAATTGTAGCTGGATGTGAGTCTTGTGTCGGATATGAAAGGAAGCAAATGACATCCAAGATGATTCATTACTTCTGAAAGATGCGTCACTTATGGATAAGGCTGGAAAATACAAGAATAAACATATCTTTTATGAAAGTTTTACATTTAGTGAGGGGTGGGAAAATATCATGGTAAAACTGCTTCTCTGTAGACAATTGTGGCTTGTAAGTACAATTCTTTCAATGAGTCTCCTTCCACAAGACAAAATATAACCTGAGCACACATTTAAAATCACTAGCAAAAGTATGCTGTGTCGTTTTGTTTTTTGGTATATTATTTTCAATAACCGCTTCTAGTTGATGATCCTCACACTAAAGTTTCTACATAATGAGAACTCTGTAGACTTCAGCTTCAGGGAAGCTTAGTTATAATTTTAAAATCTTTTAAAAGTTAAGTTTCAAGCTATTTTTTTTCCAGAAGTACTAATAAGCAGTTTCTTCTTCCCCATACCAAAGCAAAACTTAATACAGGAATTTTTCTGATGTTTATAAAGTACTTTTGGATAATTACACTGAACCACTCTGTAGCTCAAATTATTCTGCAATATAATGGCATGGAGCAGTCTCAGACAATAAGAAGATATGATGTAGTCTTAAGAATTGTACACAGGTCTGCTACTCTGATTTGTTATTGCACTTAGTTGTCGTCATTCCCGTACCCACAATAAACATGGCTGGATCAAATGCTTTCACACTGTTCTGTTTGTTTTGTTCCAAACCGTTTCAGCTTTTCTTCCTATGAAAATATAGTCATTTTTTAACATTTGAGGCATAGTTAGGTTAATCAGTGGACAAATCAGTATAATTATTTGAGGATCCCTTCTGTACACATAGTAATAACAATACCTTGCCTTTGCCTTGGTCTTTGGCTTCATTCTTAGGTTTTTTGTAGTTTATAGTTATTACCTTTTGAGGAAACGCCTTCAATTTATTTATCTGAATAATTCACATCTTTGTAATGATACAAGTTAAGTGCCAAGTCCTGATCCCAGTTAACCCAGAATTGCTTTGGATTTACACTGGTATAACTGTATTCAAAATATGACCATCTCTCTTTAATACATTCAAACTTATTAAATGAAAACCCCCAACACAGAGAACCAGGTGGGGGATCTAGTACAGTATACATAACTAGATAGAGAAAATGGTTAGGGACTGTAACGCTCCAGCCCCCTTTCTCGGGGAGGGGGGGCCATTAGGCTACGCTTATCTTGCTCTTTGGTAGTCCTCCAGTAACCTACCGGGGTGGAGGGGGACCTGGGCCCGCCCCCTCTCCAGGTCCCAGCCCAGGACCCTAAGGGAGTGCGTCCGAGACGCGCTGCCCGACCGGAGGGGCTACGGCCGCAACTCACCGGTACCCAGGGTTTCCGACCCCGTCCTGGGCTGCTGCCTCCGACCCTTTAGGGGCCGTATGTCTCAGTTTGGTTCGGCGGGGGGGCAGGGGGGACTCACCCACTCTGGCCGCAGGGGTTCTCGGTTGCTCGTCCGGGGTCCGCCGTCGATCCTGCCTCCACGTCGCCGTTCTCGGCGGTTGTCCGTTGGCTGTACCACCGGAGCTTCCTCCCCCCTCCTGTGTCCTGGCCACCCGGATTTTAAACCGGGCGCCCTTGGTCCGGGACGCCGGCGCATGCCCCCTGGGGGAGGGCCGGGCCAGTGCGCGGGCGGCCCGTCGGGGAGGCTCCTGTGCCTGCGCCTGCCACCGCCGCTGCGCCGGTGCCGTAGAGCCGCTCGGGCGTCCCGGCGGCAGTTTTTCGTGGCGCCCCCGGTGTGGGGTGCGGGATTGGGGCTTGCGCTCCCGGCCGCCCTGCCCCCGCCTGCATCGGCAACCGCCGCCGAGCAGGCACGGCAGAGCTGCTCAAGCGTCTCAGCACCTGTCTCCCATGGCGCCCAAGTGCGGAGTGCGGGGTTGGGGCTCGCTATCCTCGCCGCCCCGTCACAGGGACATTTTAATAAATGTCACAAATGCAAAGTTTCTGGCCACTATACTAGAAAGATGACACAAACTATGAAGTGCTCCCAAGCACTAGTTGTTAAAAAGCAGTAATTAAAGCTGTCAGCCAGATTAATGTAATATATGCTATTAAAATACATGATGAAAAGAGAAATACGAAAGGTAGCATGAAAGGCTATTGAAATAATTCCCTGTTCTGGAGTTTCCATTGCTTGGTTTTACAATATGTAATAGTTGTTTCTATCAATTTAGTAAACACTCATCATGCTGCTTTAATAGTCCCTCTTGTTCTTAAATATATATATATATATATATATATATTGCTTTCCCCATGGCTTGAAAACTATTCTTCTGCTAGAAAAAAATATTCACTGGGAGCCTCTAGTTGAGTCTGACGTCTTGGGGGGG